TTCAAAGAATTTAAGTTAATAAATTTCAAGAAATCTCAAAAATTAAATTTCCAAAAATTAGTTTTTTTTTTAACGGGCGAGACCATCTTTTTCTCGCTTTGCTCTCACGGAGTTTAACGGAACTATCTCTGTCGCACTCTCAACAGTAGAGCAATTGCAGTTTCGATTGGTTTGACGAAACGAATGAAATTTTTGAAAAAACCGCTTTGTGGTGAAATAGTTTATTAAATTATCTATTATCTCTAAAAAGGTTTTTTCAAAATTTCTATTCGTTTCGCTAAGCTGATTAAAACTGCAATCACTGGTCTCGGCTGTTAAATATCTTTTAAATGTCGTAACTGATCGTTTCTAAAAACTAATCAGCTCTTAACCCAAAAAAACTACGTCGATCGCCACTGGCCCGGTCAAAATCGGTTGATTTGTTCATGAGTTATCATTGTCGAAAAAATTCGGAAAAAGTGAATTTTACAAATTTTCAAAGAGCTCAAAAACATCACGACGACAATTTCAAGCGCATAGCTGTGGAATCAGCGAGAAGTTGCAGGGATGGCCTTTAGGGTCAACAGTTTTCCTAATTTTTTTTTATTTTAAGAAATAAATAAAAAGTTTACTCCGCGAAGTGAAGTCTATTAATAATATAATTTCTTAGAGTAAATTAATTGAAAAACATCAACTTTCCATTCACTCCCAAATCGTTCTGCATTCATTCCGAAAACTTTTTACAGTGTATTTATTACAACGTTGGTTAACAACTTTATGAACAAACAGAGCCTATAGACTTATATAGCAGATATCGATTTTATCAGTTGCGATGCCAAAATTGTTATATAATGCATAGAAAATCTATTAACAGTTTTCGCTATAGATATGTAATCATATACTTATATACTCGTAATTTATGTTTATAATTATTCATAATTTTTTGTAGTTGTGACTCAATCATATACAGTTGATGTAGAAGTTGTTGAAGGAGCATCACGGGGCTGTACAGCGATTCTGAGATGTCTTGTTCCAAGTCATGTAAAAGATCTCGTGAAAGTAGTATCCTGGTTACAAGAGCCAGCATTTCATATATATCCATCACTTCAAGGAGGTAATTTAATAGAATTCCATTTCTCTCAAATTGAAATTTTTGAGCAATAATGACAAAAGATATTGTACGTCATCCGACTGCTCAGTGATTATTGCGACAATCTCGATTTACGACATTCCCTTCATAGTTTGTGACTATGTAACGGGTGTTTTATGCCTGTTATTGGGCCCCTTAATTTAAATTAGTAAAAATAATTAATAACAAATTGAAAGCTAATATTAATAAACTAAGGGCGCCACCAGGATTTTATAACGCGGTTCCTGGAACCGGAACCAGAGCTGAGCTTAATATCTACAGGGAGAGAGAGTGGAGGAAGGTGATCTGAAAGAAATAAATTTTTATTTAACAAAATAACCGGTATTTATTTAACAAAACAATTTTAACAACGTTGATTACAACTAACTCACTTACAATCTAATTAACTTATTAACTAGCGACGCGGAGAATAACTGCGATATAAACGATATTTACAAACGACACCTTTCCAAACGACGATACGATGACTAGCTGGGATGTTCTAATTGACGGTCTCCCATAACCTGATTATAACTAGTTGGGCTTTTTCAGAACAAACGGTCTCACACACCTGACTAAAACTAAACTTAATTTACAAGTCTACAGGACCACTTAACCACCATTAACTCCACACGCTTTTAACTTAAACTTAAGTCCACCGGACTACAAATACTTATAACACTATGAACACTCTCTATCACACATAACCCACGCGTCTCACACACACACTGACTCTACTTTACTTTTATTTTTGCCTCTTATAAAAGTTTTACAAAATTAATCTCCAAAAATTTAATTCATTAACTTTTACTAAATTTTTCAGTCATTAGCTCGCAAATAAAAACACAAATTTCCACAATTATTAATTTACTTCTCGCGAGGATTCCGGGCTAAAACCGACGCCTTAACTTCTTCCAAATTTACCACGAGCTTATACTCAGCACAAAGAAAATTCCGGAGCATTCGACGGACACTTTGTTGCAATTTTTGCTCGGAATTTTAATTATTAATTATATAAAATATCATAATAAAATTTCATCAATTAAATTTAACTAATTATAAATTCCTGGACTTAATATCCTCGTTTGTTAAATTAAATTTTAAAGAATTTTTCCAAGACGATGATATAACATATATTAATAAATTTTCCAGAACTTGAGTTCACTTAAAATTAACCCCACGGAATTTTTCTGATTTAATAAATAATTAACAAATAATTTATTTCAATATAAAATAAATTACGAAAAATTATCCAGGGGTATATCAGTCTCAATTGCGCCAAAAATTCAATAAATAATTTTCATTAAAAATAGTTTCCAATAAATAATATAATATGAATAATTATTTCATTGTAATAAATTAAATAGTGATAATTCAATTGTTGTAGTTTTTATAATAATAATTCAGTTGTTAAATTTTATAAATTACTGCGTCATATAATTGCTAGGAATTTGCGCGCTCAAAATGGACGCCGGCATTCGTAAGTGTGTAGTAATGCTTTGACCTCGGGTATGCGACGGACGCTTGACCGATCGGTGAGCTGATTGGAATTTTCTCAATGTTCCGAATTTAGGTTTTATTTTATTAATAAAAATAAATTTAATTAAACCAATCTTAAGATGTTTATAATTATTAACTGGCCAAATTAATAAATTAATTTCTCACGACTTATTAAGACCACGAGGTCTGGAACATTCCCCGGGTATAAACCCCCAAGAAGAATGCTCACAGCAACTAACGAATGCTAAACACTGAATTTAACGAATTGTTGATTTACTAGCAATTAATTATGTAATTATTAATAAATTAATTATTACTAGACAATTGAATTACTCAAAACAATTATGGAAATGAGAAGTAGTACTTTGATGAGCCGAGTATACGACCCCGCGGCTCATCAAATGTAAGTCTTAATACCTGGTGTAATTTGTGCTTGAAGAAAGCTCCTTGTTACAAATGACTTCCTTCTTGGACTTTTGGCTTGTTGTTGGTCTGAGCACTGCACTACTTCTCCCGACACAACGCATGGCTCATCTATATAACGACCCCCAAAATACCCCCTCCTACTCTCTCTCTAGGCCCGAAGATCGAGGCACACAAGTGCTAGTCGAAAAGTTATCGATCTCTGGCGACTTATCGATTAAGGGTAATTTACCCTGTTACAACTAGAACTTACGAAAACAAGTGTAACTTAACGTTTTTAGCTTTACTTAAGACGTCAAATTTATACTCGTTTTCGTAAATTCGCGCCACAAACTTTAAGTTCATATCGAAACATTGATTTGTTAATTTCTCTTTATTTTTGTAACTGGTCGGTATCTAAGTTATGTTAGCTTTTTGAATGTATGCAACAATTATTACAAATTCTTAATATACATATATGTATCCATGAAAAAAAATAAAACACAATAAATGTATAAAAATACAAAATTACTTTTATAGAACTTACCCCACTTCATTATTTGCACTGTTACGTTCTGGGAAAATCCAACGTTTTTTTCCCAGATAAATAACAAAATGTTTTTAATAAGTAATTTTCAGATTTTGACCTCATGAGAAAGTCGATAGACTCCAGGTGGGTCGTGTCACTGATTCCTCCGCGAAGTACTTTTTAAATTTATGTTTATTAGTTTTTGATATTACTTTCAATTTACCTGCCCTCAGGTAGATAATGAAAAGAGAGCCTGAACGCTGGCTAGCGCTACAGGTACAGGAACCAGGGTGAAACGCTGATAAGCGCTCTCAACCCTGGATTAAGGATTTATTAAATTTCCATATTAATCGATAAACAATTAATAATTAAATGAGTTTGTTTATTACCAATGCGGTCAATTATTTTAACTAGTTTTTAAACTAATTTAAGTCGAGATGGAGCATTCCATCTTCGCTAAAGATCGAGACGGGATTGTCCCTTGTTGTTAGGGCGATGGACTCCATCAAACAAGAGTTAAAATAATTGACCGCATTGGTGATAAACAAACTCATTTAATTATTGAAATCACGGTTGCAAAAAAGAACTTGTATACAATTAATAATGTTTAGTATCAAAGAATAGGCAGGTTCAGCCTCGAACCAGCAGAGATTGCTCCTCTGCTAAGTCCGAGGACTGACTGCTCCAGAAGAAGTCTGAAGACAGAATGTGCATTAAATAATTATTTCAATGAGTTTTTATAATGATTTTTAGCAATGCTGCATCTCAGGTTACCCTATGAGAACATCAACGCAGTCCAAAACCCACAACGTAGATTATTCCTGCGGCAGAGGAGAAACTGCTACCAGGCGCGTCTCCCCGTAGCGGATGGGTTGACACTCGCTGTCCTTGGATGACACTTGGATAATCTCTTAGTTGATGAGGTACAGCGGGTAGGAGCCAAGCAAAATAACCAAACAAAATACGCTCCCGTGGACAAAACTCCCCTTTAATGGGTTGGTCACACTAACTGACCTAACAAGACGAGGGTAGCGTTGTTCGCGTCCGTAGGTACTGCTTTAACACCCTACACGTGCTCTCCGGGTAGTGCTAAATGAACAACACTCGGAGCTGAAGAGTAACAGCCACCGTCCGTGTATCCTTGTGGGTCGGAGAAAGCTCGCTGTTCTACGGAGCAAAAAGTAGGAGCGAATAAAATAGCTCTCGCGGTAAAAAACAAAAACACCCCTTTCGGCAGGAAGGGTTGGTCACAACATCAGACCTAGGGTCACGTACGCAAGCGGATATGGTGACGCTGCTCAAAAGAGATGTGCGAAATGATCCTTACAGCGCGGCGAACGTGGTAACTCCCGGCATCTACGTGCCACACCCACGGGAGCAAGAGGAAGCCGATGAAGAAAGCAGGTGCAGGGTCGAAGCGGTTGAGATTTCCCGTTTCAATGACATAAAGCTCTTATAGCAATGGAGGTAGTTGTAAGAGAGATCACCCCTCCACTTCTGAAGGCATCGCGTTCGGAGACGAACTTTTGCTTTGGAGTATCAATAAAGATCATGGAAGAAACAAAAAATCAAGAAGAGGACAGGAGTATTAGTGAGCCCCACGCCCAAGAAGCAGCGATTACAGCAAGCGCTGAGATGAAGCGGACGCAAGCGCAGGAACGCCTTGAAAAGCTGATCAGTGAGCTCAATGATTTCGTCCAACCAAACGTCAATATCCATAAAGAGATAAAGACCAAAGCAACCGGGGTAGTTAACGCCCGTCGAAGGTTTAAAAAACTGGACGAGGAGAGGCACTCATCATTGCAGCGCATATCCCATGCTACACCGAAGAAAGCCCGTCAGGCTGTCGACGTGACTGATGAAGCAATGGACACCGGAGCTAAAGGTGACAGTGAATCAGTCGCGGAAGACAAAAGTGAAGCCAGCAACAAGTCAGATAAGAGAAAATATCGATCTTCTCCTGACCCATTAATCAGCCAAGCCATGAAGAAAAAGGATTTGAAGAAAAGCCCTCTACAAGGAACGGCAGGGCGAAGCGACCAACAGGAAAAAACGTCAACCTGGCAAAAAG